TATATTATATTTAGAGTCTCTTTTATATTATTATTTTGAAATTGCTAAACTTCCTCTTTCCAACGCTCTCTTTGCACGGGATCTTAACATATAAAATGTGACATTTTATTATAACATATGTATCTTGTTTCCCATATGAATTCAACGAAAGTATACTTTCTTTCACAACCCCAGTGTGTTATACATATAAATGTGGTATGTCTGCAAACGACTTGCCGTCATTTGAAAAGAAAATCACCTTGTTGTATCGTCTAATAAACATGTCTTTAATTATGAGTCGCAACTAATTAACATTAATTGTCTTTCTTATTGTTTGAAATGTGGCACTAATGTGACGCCTTTCGCTAATTAAACTCAAATTTTTATGATTTAAATATCTACAGGTTTTCAAAGTGATAGTCTCATAAACAAAAAAAAAATTGTTCATACTGAAATCGTCAAATTCTAACACATTCATCACATAATTAATTTGTGCAAATTATTCGACTCAATTAAGATTATCTGCACATTTAATCATTAAGAGTTGAAAAAGCAAAATTTTACAGATTTTCGAAACCATTTCTTTAGCACAATTTGCCTTTTGTTGCAAAATAGGTCTTAGCACTGGCGATTACAATTTCATTTTTGCACAATTTTTTTCCAACGAACAATTTCCGGAAGTCTGAGCACAGTAAAAGTTGCAAAGGGCCAGATGAGAAGACTGTCGGTGGGGAAATATTTAATTTGGAATGCGGTAAATTGTCTCGATTGTGAGTTCCGGTGGTCTCCACTTTGCACAGAGCACTTACCCAAACATATCGGATATGTCCTTTGATATTCTTTCACTATATCGATCAACTTCATTTTACAAACTTTACAATCATCAAAATAAATCTTTTGTTTTCATTCGGTAGCCCATTTAGACGTTCATTGTTTCGGAACTCATATAGCCTGTGCGAAAAGTAACAAACCACTTATGAATAGTTGCTTCGCTTGTCGAAAAACTCGGGTAATATTTTTCAAGTCACTTTTTTGTATCTGCAACAATTTTTTCACTACTTAATTAAGATACATTACTAGTAAATTCTGTTCTATCCTTTGGAAGGTGATATTGGGAATACATTTTTTCTCCACTGTCCAGAATTCAGCAACCAATTCCCCCCATACTTTTCTAATAGCTTCCGAACTACAATAATTCTGCGCAATTATTATAGTTCAATCTTCTTTTCCGTTTATATCTAGAGAATTTGCATACTCTTGCGCTAACTATAGCAATTTGTTCATAAGTTTGTCTCAATTCACTAAACGTTGCATAGGTTTTCTTAATATAGTCCAAACTTTGTGTAAAATTAAAGCCGAAAAGGCTTGTAAAAATGAGAAATAGTTAGTCCAATTTATTTATACTTGTACTTGTGTACTACCGTTAGCTAATGATTCCTTTTTTAAACTCATAGGTATTATTGGATTATCATAGGAGAATCACCAGAAAAGATTCCTTTCAAAGTTTACCAAGATGAGTTGGATTTTTTCTGGATATAACTTTGCAGAATCTTGCTTACACCTTGTTATTTATTTTGTTCGATTTGTGACACTCTTTAATATATATATATAATATAACGAACTTTCCTAAGAATCTCTCTCTAATGTAATTTTCGCCATTTCTTTACATTTTGCTTATATGAGTTCTTTTGCGCAATGGAGCAATCCTGCCATTTATTACAATAAAGGAATCTCAGGGATGTAATCTGAGTCTTGTATACTGCTATTAACAATCAGACTTGGCTAGCTTAAAGCTATGTTTGTTATTAGTATCAATTCAGAATAGGTATCTCTTCAGAATATTGCATTTTTCATTAAACAATCGACTCAAGACTTGTTGTTGGTCTTGGTGCATCTTATACTTGTATATACGAGGTGTGTTCAATGGAAAAGGTGAATTTCGATTTTTCGCGGGCAATTTTATATTAGATGTAGTAAAAAGAAATCCATTATTTTTACAATAGATAGCGTTATTTATTTGTATCTCGCGTTATATTAGTTCAAACGGATTCGGCTAGATGGCGCTAGAAAGATGAAATTTCGTACTAAAAAAACTTTTCTGACAGTTTAGTGATTGGTTGATTCAGTTTTATTTAATCGCACATCAAAGATAGACACTAGCAAAGACAAAATAGCTATATTTTACAGATTTTCTTCGATAAGGGCGAAAACGCGAGCCAGGCGGCTGACAATGTGAATACCGTTTATGGGCTTGATACAGTAACAGCCAATCATACGCTATTTTGGTTTCGTCGATTCCGTTCCTGTAATTTCGATGACAAAGCTCTAGGAGGCCAATTATCGAAAAAATCGATCAAATAATGGAAATCGCCGAGTCCAAACATCGATTACGATTGTCCAGGACCTAAACATTGCACAAAAAACCATTTGGAACCATTTGATTAAGGCTGGATACAAAAAGTAATAATTAAAGCATTAAATCTTATGCAAAAATAATGGATTTAGTTTTACTACACCCATATCGATTTTTTGTTTTTGTTATAATCGGACACGTATGTTTATCAAAAATGGACTAAACTACTTCAAGGCACTTGAAATGTTGACTGTGGCATTCAGTGAGTCCACTTTGCCTCAAAAAAGGGTTTATAAGTGGTACAATCGCTATGGATCGAGAAGGTGTTGATGACGATAAGCATCCTGGAAGTGCAGTGAACAAAATTGTTCTTGAAAATCCTCTAATCACTATTAGGGAAGTTACAGAGGGTGTTGGCATTTCAATGGCTCATGTTTTACAATTTTCTCGAATGTTTTGGGCATGAAACGTGTGGCAGCGAAGTTTGCTCCAAAATTGCTTTAATGCTCCAGCTTACACATCAATGCTTATTTGTGATTTTTTGGCAAAAAAAACAAAAAAACGTAAATATATGTCAACCACCGTATTCCCAAGATTTGCCTCCCTGTGACTGTTTCTTATTCCTAAAATTGAAGAAACCAATGAAAGGAAAGCGTTTTGGCACAATTGATGAGATCAAGTAACAATTGAAGAAAGAGCTGATGATAATACCGAAAAGCGCATTTAAGAAGTGCTTCGAGGATTGAAAAAAGCGTTGAAGATCTAAGCGGATACAATTCTCTACTAAGTCAAATTATTGAGTCGATTCGACGTAGAATTGCAGAAAAAATTACACACACCTCAATCAACACCACGGCCAAATAGAGCGAATTAGGCTATGAACTGCTAAACATCCTCCGTATTTTCTAGATTTGACACCGCTCAACTTTATATCGTTTCTAAAATTGGAAGTAATTTATGAACTGCATGTTGACGATCTCTCACTGTCTCGTGCTCAATAAAGCACCAATTGAAGAATAGTGAATTGAGTTTTCCAGTTATTAAATGTTTACATACCGACACATAAAATATGGTGCACCTGGTATTTCGCATCTTTTAGACCTCTCAAAATGACTTCGGTAATAGCATTTTTTCTGGCCTGACTAATTTTGGTTGCTAAGATTATGAAATGAGATGTGAACTTTTTTTTTAAAATTAAACTAAATTTGTCTTAAAGTTTTTCTGTTGAACAATATTTTAAAAAAGTTTATTATTTTACTTCACTTCTGAAGTTCAAGAATCACTTCAAAGTATCTAAGCAATTAAAAATATTTTTATTATGATTGGATGTTTTGTACTTTGGGGTGCCAGCATAAAAAAGTATTATTTTTTGCTATAAAATAATATATACTTGAAAAGATGTATACAATAATGCTTGATGTTTCCTTAAAACAAAGCATTTAATTGCTTTTGATAATTAACACTTCCCATTTTGTATTTCACTTCCTAAAATATACGAAGTGCAATGCTCATCATACACAGCGATAATTATTTTTATTAGAATATATCATGAACACTTTTGGGTTAATTATCTATCAAGTCTATTATTGGCAAGCATGAAAGAATAGAAAAGGAAAGTTTATGGCTCACGTCGATTCGAATTGCAATTAGATATTCTTCCTTGTTTAATAATGATTACCTGCCAATTTGCCACATATTGTTAATTATTCTATACTTAGACTTAACTGGAAAGCAATTACTAGAATCGACGTAGTTTCATATAATTTTTATTTGTAATAAGAAATATTTTATGTTGTGAAGGTCTCTTATAAATTGAGTTAAATTTATTTTATCCGAGAGGCTGTTGTCTATTCTTAGGATTGCTAGCCGATCTGTACCTTCTATTTGTTGTGAATTAAATTTTTGGTGGCAGCTGGAAGGGCATCCAGTTAATGAAATAGTCGCCCACTTTGCATTATTAAAAATGTAGTTTGGTTAAAACAAAAAATATTTTAAAGGTATTTACAAAAATTAAAGAACATAATTTGAAGTTATCAAAAAAAAAAAAAAACTGGGGAAAATAAGCCAACTTGACATAGGAGAAAGCAACGTCGACAAAGCGGCCTTTATAACTGTGTAAAATAACTCAGAACTACTAATGAAGTTTTTTAGAGGTTGACCTCCAGGAGAAGCAATCTAAACTGCCCGTATCGAATAGATTATTTCGATCGAGTACAAACTAACACAGTGATTTCCTCGAATTACCATTCAATAAGCTGCCATAGTAAAGGTATAAAAGAGTAGCCGCCATTACTCCATAATTAATTCCATTTTCCAAACCAATGCTTTAGTTACTTCAGCGTATTTTGTGACATTGATTGCTTAGTGACACTTTTCTCGGCAAATGTTTGAGTTTCAGTTTCAGGAATCCAAATGATGTGGTGATGATCGCTGAGTTCCGTTAGTGTTTCGTTAGCAACTATTTTTTTCCTACACCGATCATAAAATATGTTGAGCGTCTCTACCATCTAGCATCTTTCTACATCTAAAGCGAAATATTCCGAACACCAACGGCAGAATAAGACAACGCTAGTGAAAATATATAATGGGCTTTAAAATCTCTATTTTAGACTAAAATAAAATCTTCCTACCAGTCACTCTGAACCCTCTCTCTCTCTTGCTGTTTCAGCTTGTTCAGTAGTACATGAAGACCATTCATCTGCCCAAGATGATCTCGATGATGCGTTAGCAGACACTTTCTCCAATGGAATAGCGAATAGCACTGATTTGGTGCGTGCCGTACGGGCATCTATAAGGCAACATGAACTCCTGCAGCAACGTAATAAACATCGCAGGTGGGAACATTACCTTTAACCTTCTTTCATATAATAGAAATAATTTGACCATTATGCCTATCCTTCAACTTGCTATCAGATCGAAGCGAGCAATTAAACGCGTTTGTTATGGCGAACTCGGCTGTTTTGAGGACTCCGGTCCCTTTGCTTATTTGGAAATGCTGCCATCGCCACCTGCAGATATCAACACTAAATTCTACTTTTACTCTACAAAAAATCGTTCCGAACGTCCCCTCATGGAGTTGCCGTTTCTGAATATGACTGATACTTTTGCCAAAGTCGCACGATCTTCGCATTCTATACGACGCAGAGCCGGTTCTGTAAGTGATACAGACGCAGACAGCTCCACCACAACAACAACGACGACAACCACCACTACGACACAGCGTAGCGTCTTCAAAAGCACTCCACTGACCCTCGATGAACTGCATGGTTTCGATGAACTGTCGGTTCGTGTGATCGTACATGGTTTCGGTTCGGCTTGTCCGCATGTGTGGATCTACGAAATGAAAACGGCATTGATGGCGGTGGTAGGTTCTTTAAATGGAATTAAAAATTTAAAATTACATACTTTATTATTGTAGGAAGATTGCATTGTTATTTGCGTGGACTGGGAGAGCGGCGCTACTTTCCCGAATTACGTGCGTGCTGCTGCCAATACACGATTGGTGGGCAAACAACTGGCTATGCTTTTGCGGAATCTGAAAGAATACAAAGGCCTCAACTTAACGCGCACGCATATAATCGGTTTCAGTTTGGGTGCACATGTTTCTGGTTTCGCTGGCGCTGAACTGCCGGGCTTGGCTCGCATTACGGGTTTAGATCCAGCCGGTCCACTGTTCGAGGCACAACATCCCAAAGTGCGTTTGGATAATTCGGATGCGGACTTTGTGGACGTTATACACTCGAACGGTGAGAACTTAATACTAGGTGGACTGGGCTCGTGGCAGCCCATGGGACATGTGGATTTTTACCCAAATGGGGGACGTGTGCAAACTGGCTGCTCAAATTTGTTTGTGGGCGCCGTAACGGATTTCATTTGGTGTTAGTAGCTTGATATTATTACCTTAGCCATTTTGGATAATCAAATTTATTACCCCCTACTTATAGCTGCACAAACTGCCGATGAGGAGGAGGGTCGTTCACTCTGCAATCATCGACGAGCTTACAAGTTCTTCATTGACTCAGTCGCTCCGCGATGTATGTTTCCAGCTTATCCGTGTAATAGCTATGACGACTTTATTAAAGGCGATTGCTTCCCGTGCGCTCAAAATGACGATGACGTTGCTGAAGGTGTACCAAGATGTGGCAACATGGGCTATTATGCTGATAGATCCACTGGCCGTGGACAACTGTATCTACTAACAAGAGAAGAGGAGCCATTTTGCGCGCATCAATTCAAGCTGGAAATATTCAATTCCTTTAATGATCTGCCTTTACGTACTATCGGACGCTTGGAGGCTACACTCGAAGGGGAGGGTGGACTGAACGAAACCTTCAAAATATCGGAGTGAGTGGTTTTTTTAACTTTTGCTGTACTACATAGTAGTAATAACAATAAAACTTATCCCCTACAGAAAAGACGACTCTGAATTCTTCGCTGGAGATATTGTTTCAAAAATAATTGTTCCACATCCCGCCTTGGGCTTTCCTACCACACTTAGTTTACATTATAAATCATATAGCGGTTGGCTCTCCAAGGGACTACCGCATTGGGATATCGATAAGGTTGTTTTAACCGACAGCTTTGGTCGCAGTCATTCCCTCTGCAAACCATCGACCAAACTCTCATCGGGTACACCTGTGCGTCTAAAGCTGCTCACCGGTAATTGTGAATTGGAGAACCAAGAAGAATATGGTACTTATAATGTGCCGACCACTTCGGTGCCGGACTCTAATGGACAAGAGAGCATAGACAATTTGGAAACCGATAGTATAGATGCCGCCAAGCAAAGCAAGGACTATTTCAATCTCGGTACTAGTTTCCGACTAGACAAAAATAATACATATCCTGAAAACGATATGCCCTGGCAACCCATATTCGAAGGTACTAATTCGCTGGACAAAGAAGTTGGTGAATCAAGTCGCAGTTTATCCGTCGAACCAACTGAAATTTTCGAACCCGTTTTAAACGACCGCCGCCTGGGTCTTACGAATGCACGTAACCTTCAGGAATATGGTGTAACCACGGAAGAGATAGTTGAACCTGTTTTAAAGGCGACTACACCACGTGTTAAGAAAGCAAAGGAGATTGTCTTCACAGACTCGCCGCTGGACACAAAGAAACCAGAAATTATTAAAATTACACCAATCACTACGATACGTAATGGACCCGAGCTACCGAAGCAGAACTCACAGGAGGAAGTCATTACTGTGCAATTGCTGCCCTTCCGTCTCGGCGATTTACTACAACGTGCCGAGCGTTACGCACGTGAGACTCTCTTACCGTTGATCTCTGTGCAAGCGCCGAAGTTTTTTGGCTTCAATGTAGGCGGCTCACCAGCGAGCAGTACTGAACAGCCAACTACCCCTAAGGATGAACCCCGTAAACCACGCTACATACCACGTTTTGAGGAGGCGTCCTTTTTGCGTGAGAAACGTGTGGAGAAAAATCGCCCTGTCCGCAAACCGGCAACAGATCTAACCGTGGCTGAGTCGCGAACGCAACGTAATATTTTCAAGCTTTTAAGACCGGATAACGTGGTGAAAGCTACTAGTAGTGTTGAACGCTCGGGTCAAAAGCGTGCGCTTAGCTATTACACCAATATGATGCTCTCCGAATCGCGGGCATTACGGCCGGAAGATCCCAGTTATGAGCCAGTATTCATAGAATTACCCACCTATAGACCAGCTGCGAATCAAAAGTTGGTTGAACGAAAGCTCTGAAACTACATAACTGTATTGGTTACCGGAAACAGTGTGGGTTAAACACTATTCGAATTGTGCAAAACCGCGTGATAAGTCAAATGCTGTAGACGCCCATCTCAGCACTATAACTTTCTTTTGACCAAAAATAAAAAAATAGAAGATACGAATTTCTCAAACTCTTCGTCATAAAGCTATGTTGCTTTACTGAAAATGCAATTAGCCCTCGGTCTAACCAAAAAGAACATAATTAAATAAATTGTATAGATAATAAAAATAAATATTATTGTGATCGCCATTTACGTGCAACCCTGTGAGTCGACTCTAATCGCCTGGTTTTAGAATTTCAATACATATACGTCCAACTTTATAAATTTTTTTATATTTAATATTTTCTAAACGCATCGCATTAGAGAATATTTAAATTGAACTATGAAATTTTCTGTAAATACTTCTAACCCTATCACTGTTTTCCACTTACTCTAATTACTTATGTATGTAATTTGTAATATAAATAAAAAAAATTTGCTTAGTTAAGGAAAATATAACTCTTGGCTCCTGAGAGTATCATTCGAGTGATCATTTGGAGCCAAGGTAATGCTGTTTGAAATTTGTTAGAGCATAGGTTAAAATTTAAGTTAAGTAAATATATAAATATCTTTTATACGAATAAATTATTTAATTTTACAAAAGAAACATTAAATCATAATTTTAAAGACGAACTAATAGTTCTATCAATTTAACACATTTTGTCAAAAGATAAGACAGAAAATAAACCAAGGAATAATACGAAGGGAATATTAAAGAACTTGAGGTGAAAATAACTATTATATGGTGTTTTTATGCGTACACTTTTTGATTTCTATTATTATCATTACACTTAAAATTTTAAGAAATAAGTTTTGCTAAATTTTCATAAAAAATTGTGTGAGATTACTTTCTCTCGACTTTATGTGCGGTTTTGGGTGTTTTTGAAGCAGCAAAAATAAAAAAAAATTCCACAGTTATTAACGTTGCTGTGGTTTTAACGAGTTTCTGTTTCGGTTAACTGACTATCAAGCAGACGATTTAAGGGGTTATATCAGCTTACAAGCCGTTTTTTTGTGGATTTTTTTTTAAGAGGTATTTTATTTAATCATTAAATAAAAGTAATGTACATTTAAAATATTTAAATTTGAATTTCGACCTCCGAAATAGGGTGTCTGCCGGTGAGGAAGATTTTTGTGCTTAAAATTTTGGATTTTTGCCAAAATGGCGGCTTCCCAAAGAAAAGAGTTATTTTTATGAAAAACTTTACATTTCAGAGAGGTTTAAAAGATCGCAATTATTATCAGAAATCGTAGTCCTTCTATCATTACCCGAAAAATATGTCTAAGAAGGTCGTATAAACCAATTCTTACAAGTACGCCCATATTTCAGAAACTATATAGTAGAGAATATTTTCAAATATATATATTCTATATATATCCAAAAAAAATCAATATTTGAAAATTTACAAATGGATATAACAATTGAGAAATTGCGGACGTTTGAAATTGCGTAATGAAACAAAATGAGAGGACTTTTCGGTCACTGTTGGAAAAGTGCTTAAAAGAGCATTGCTACTTCAATCAATTCGAGGGAAGTGAAGTAGATCAGGACGAAGGAACCTGGATTTATATACTACCAAAAACTCTGGATTAATTTTATTATTATTTTCTGCCACTACAACAACAATTATTTTCCGATAAATTTAAACTGCGTGCAGCCTTAGCGTTGGAGGACAATATTCGAGTACATATGTAATAATTTAATAATTTTTAAATGGCAGCACTGGAATATACAATAGATCGCATTTATAATATTATAATATAAATATATATTACTTTTAATAATAGTAATAGAATTGTATCACCTTATAGTATACCAAACTGTCAAATTAAGACAATTGCCCAATAATAATATTTACAGTATTTTGCGAGTTTTGAAGTATGGAAACGTTAGTTATCTTTAAAGAAATTCAGTATTTTTTTTAAATTATGAACTATATGTAATGTTAAATTCGTTAAATAGTTTTTTTTTTAAATTAGTAGTCATCGAATAACAAAATATTGATATAGTAATCATAGCTAGTGTACCGTGATCTATACAGTAGTCGCCTAAAATACTAGTATCAGGTTAGTACGAGTAAAGTTTATAACATTATACTAATAATTTTTGGTGAAATATATTTTTCTTTTATATTTTTAAATTTTGCGTATTTTTCCTTGTAATAGCGTAGGTATTTAATGCTTCATTTTGTCATAAATACATTTAGTCCCTTGTAATTATTATATAAGGGAAAGTGTGAAATTTAATAAAAAAAATCGATGTTTTTCATATGTCGATAGTTTATTCCTTTCAAAATGACATACTAAAATCTTAAATCGATATCTCAATTAATTTATCCTTAAACACGTTTTTCTTAAATTTGCTTAAATCTTGATTACTTAGACAAATGATCTGATCACTCACTGTTCACCATACAATGACCTAGCAATTCTTTGATCTGATCACAAATCGAATTTAAACAAGCCAAAAGCGATAAAAATTTTGGGTAAAATTCAGTTTTTTATTAGCGCCGAAATATATTACATTTTTTATTATTGTTTTTTCGATCTTACGTCGTTGTACGGACAATATCTTCTAGTGAGAATTTTTTCAGGTTTCAGGCCGGGAGCACTGCAACAATGGAGAATATTTGTTAGCGTTATTTTAAAACCATTGAAACAGTTGTTTTTTTCCTAAATTCCCAAAAATCGCTATTGAGCTGTAACACGAGATGAAGTGCCATAAGTGCTTACACTGTATGCGTTATTAACTATTTCTGCCACAAAATATTCCTAACCATTTGCGTAAATGAAAACACAACTTGTTTGTATATTTTTTAATCATTTCCTCTTTTTATTAAGATCTATACCAAATTTTCACTTTGGTTTGGTTTTGTTACGTTTATCTGTTTTCTTTCACTTTTCTAGTTAGTACGTTTACAATTATTATTTTTGTATACACTTAATAAATTTCGAATTAGTACTTATATATATATATATATACATATATATATTATACATATGTATGTATGTATATACATATGCGCATACATGTAATTTTAATTTTTCTTACAAAAACAAAAGTATTTTGACGAATTAACTTACAACTGAAGTGAAGATTGGTTTTGCTTGTGCAGAAATTGTAACAAATCTCACATTGATAATTGTTTCTCCTTTATTAAATAACTTTCAAGACTTCAAAAAATGCTCTCTCACTAGACTATAGCATAGTATGCCATTATTTCATGCACTCAACTTCACTTGCAATGGTCTCATAGTTTCATTAATACATCTAATCGTATTTAATTTGCTTACATGCCTCATTTATGCTGTTATGTATGTATGTAAATTAAGCAACACATATTTATGTAAATTTTGTTTGACAAAAGATCTAAATTTCTTCAATAAGTAACGCCAGCGTCACAGTCATTTGTTTATTTTAATTTTTTATTTTCATTTTTGCTCATTTCACGATTTTTCACGACTAAATTTTTTTGGTTTTTTCTTGTAATTATTTTCTTTCATCAATGTATGGTTTTTTCATCTGCCAATTGTTTTTCTTGTTTCGCAGGCTTTTTTCATTATTTAATTTAATGCCAATTACACCGTTATTTTATTACTACTACAAATTCTTAATAATTTTCAATTATTTTATAATTATTATTTTCATATTTTTAAATGTTTAGTGACATTATACAATACATACATAGTTATGTATTACAAGTATGTAGCCTACACACGCTCTCACTAGCTGGTAAATTTTATGCTGCCAAATTTTTATTTAACTCTCACACACATACACTCTCAACTTCTGCGTGTGCATCTGTGTTAGAGTGTCCGTTATTTCCCAAGTTGATTGTTTTTTTGCAAAAGCCCTCTGAAGTTCCAGTTTTTGTCCAAAAAAAAAGTTATCAACGTAACAAGCTCTTTATTTTCAATTTAAGTAGTGTCTAATTACACATTTTTTATTCTTAACAAGTATGTACTCGTATAAATATATCATGGGATTTTTGGATAAGCAAGTAAATCTAAAAAGAAGTGAAATTGTAATGCAAAATGTTTCACTCTTCAAAAATATCTTAGGGATTTTGCATAAAAAATTGCCTATTGAAGTTATACGCAGTTAAGTCAAGTGCTAGACATTCTGTGTTGCTCATACGACATGGTGTGCTGTATGAATGCAGTACATTTGATGCATAACTTTAACTGCGTATAACTTAACATTAAGTTCTTTTTTGTAGTGCGGAAGATTTTGTATTAGAATAACACTTTTTCCAAGTTGTAGTTCTAAGTGTTTTGGAGATGAAAACTGTATTGGAAAAGATTACAAAATCTCATGAAATATAAAGGAAAAGTAAAACAATATAAATTAAAAATAAAAATCTTGTTTAAGTTGGATCCTTTTTTAGGGCAGAAACTGAAACTTCAATGGATGCTTGCAAAAAAAAAAAAAGACGCAACTTGGAAAATAACGGACACCCTATTGTGTATGTATGTGTATATGTATATTGATGTATGTACTATTTTAACATAATTTATTTTTTCAAACTAACATGCACATATTTACTTATGTTTATGTAGTTGATGGCTACATGTTATATGTATGAATATATGTACATATTATTTATTTTTACTTCATGATCTTAACTGCTTTATTTAACATTATTTTTTGTATGCATTATACTCACTAACTGGTAAGAATTCTTGAATTCCTTAGTTCAACTAAATTTAGTTATTGTTGAATATTTAAGCATTTATGTACATATGTAAGCATATTATTTTATCTACACATGTATATACTGTATGCGTGCATGTATGTTGTGTGTATTTACATAAGTAGTACATTTTATGTGCGCACGTGATGCAGTTTACAATGCTCACATGCAAAAATTAACTCACATACAGATTGAATTTCGTGGATGTCTAGATATTGTCATGGAATAACTATAGTATCTTGAAAAAAATTTCGGTTTTTGAACTCGGGTAATAGGTAGTTCCAGATATGAGAACAGTAATTTTCTAAATGCTGATTGCAGAAAGTAAAAATTATGATTTTCTAAATTAAAATCATTGGACTACTTGTGTCAGCCCTCAGCAATAGCAATACTGCACTGCAAAGCTTGATTTGGTCTGTTTGTGGTTCTCCGGTACTTTTTATAAAATATTACCAAACCATGTGCTATCAGGTGATGGTCAAGCAATTGACAGTTTGTGAAACACCTCTTTGTGACATCTAATCAAAATTATAAAGTTGATTTCATAGTATCCCTAACACTGTTCGTCCGTCAAAGTCTATCTATGTAGAACAGATCGTCAAAGCAACAACACAATAACGTATAGAATCTCAATGAAAAAGCAGAATCCTCAGGCTTCTCAGAGCACCGGTGGCATACTCTATTGTTTCAGTGAATTTAGGAAAGCTAAGAAGATGCTATGACAAACAGTTATAAATATGAATAATTTTTCCCCATAAAATATTTGTGAGCTATTTTTTACGATTGTGCAGATAGAAGTGTGAATACATTTTCTAGCCTTTGGGCACTCTCATAATTTACATCATTTATTATTCGTGATAAGAAATACTCAATTCTTGTATCAAAAACTCTTCCTTGAAGTTAACAATACAACAAATTACGCCGAAAATAAAGGAACGCTGTTTTCTCTAATGTCGCTTTAGGCTTTAGCGGCATTTTAAATTATATCATGCAATTTGAAATCTACCTTCATAGGAATAAATGTCACAAGTACAAAGAAATGCAAAATAATTTAATTTTTATTCAACTATATAAAATAACATAAAACATAGTAAATAAAAATACCTTTAAAACAATTTCCTAAAATGTGTTGTAATTTAATGAATTGAAAAATTACTTAATATTTAATTTTTCCTAACTTTGGCCTCTCAAAATATATTGCAAATACATAATTTCGCTAGCAGTTGAGCCGGTATTAGTTACGCAAACTAAATTCTGCTGGTCTGACGGATGCAATCATTTGTGATGAAGAAATTTTGCATAGTTTTAGGGACTTCCGGGAAAATGTTGCGAAAAATTATTTCCGCTGTTGCTTACTGCAAATTCTGGGCGCCTGATATGTGAGCTGCTACTTGCCATACAAACTGAATTTTGCTGAGTTGGTAAACAGCGCTAGACGAAAACTTATGATGCAGAAATATTGCATAATAAGGAGCTTCCAGAAAAATGTTGCGAAAAATTATTTGGTCCGGGCTTTAGATAATGAAAATATGGGAAAGTAACTGCTTATGTAGTTCGGTGTGCGATTTGTTGTATTATCAAAAATGATCATCCAATTCTTTTTATTACATTTTGTTTATTCAATTCAAATTAATTTAATTTAATTAGTCTTATTTGCTAGAGAATTCAATCTGTTTGTGTTTTTTGTTTTCATACTTAGCATGTGTTTGTAGTACACATAATTAATTTTATTACAATTTTAGAAATAAAATTAAAAAAAATGTTTTTACAATATTATTGAAAATTTGTTTATTATTTAAATGATATTTTTAGACCATCAAGGTGCTTGTTTGCTTTGCGTTTGTTGCTTTCATTAGATTTGTTGTTGCTATTATTAATTGCATACAATTACACAATATAATTATTTTATATGAATAACATAAATTTTGTATGCCATGAACTTTTTGGCAATACAAAAACAAACAAATTTATTTCTATTCTAAGCGTATATAATATGTATGCACATATATTTGTATGTAAAAGAGCGGGATCCTGCCCTGTCAACGATAAATTAAAATTAAGAATTACGTGTTAATATAACAATAACCACATTACAATCAATTATAATAGTATTTAATAAATATGTATGTATGCATGTGTATGCTCTCACTTATGCTAATCAACGCATAAAACACTTAAGGAAAAATAAATCAAAAAACAGTGTTTTTTAACTAAAATCGAGTTGCGGCGTGGCGCTGCTCAGCACATCAGCAGGCAAAATACAACAGTGCGCGCTTGGCTGTTGGCATAGTGTTGTATTTCAGTGTTAACACGCCGAAAGTGACCTGCACTTAGCAAGCATTATAAAAATATTATAGTTTGTTTTAACAATAGTTGGTGCTAACTGTGTGTGCTCTCTTTGACTGCTTTATTTTGTGTTGTAACCATTTTTCGGTCAACTCTTTTTTTGCACGCGTTTACCATATTTGCACCATCTTACATAGTTATTTAGTTATATGTGTGTGTATAACGTCTGATATATTTATATTATGCATTTTTTTGCTGTTAAAAACATATGCTTTGGCGCATTTTGTGCATTTACTATTGTCATTCATTAAAACAGTATAAAAATGTTAAACAAAAATTTAAAGAAATATAAAAATTTTGTTTTTTCTTCAAAGCAAATAAGTAAGCATACAGCTTTGTTGTTGTAAAATGTGGCTAAACTGACAGCTGTTCGTCTCAAACGTACATGCAGTTCTATATTTAAATTTTTCATATAATAAAATTATTATTTTTATACACATAAATTACTTTGTTTTAGTTTTTAGTGTTTTTTCTTTGAATTTGTTTGTTTTCTTTCTTTTTAACTTCTACACATACATATGTAATTATTCTTAAAACGTCATTCAACTTAAAAGTATGCGAAGACTTATTTGTGGTGGAAAGGAAGTGTGGAAGCTACAAATTCAACACACCGCCCAGCAGGTGGGTGGTTTCTCATTTTCATTTTCAATTTCAATGCAATATTTAATTTAATTATTATTCTTATTATTTTACTTTTGTCTCATAAACAGTATATTAATCTATTCACATTTTGTTTCGGTTCGAATATTTTATATTACAGTATTTTCACTTTTACATTAGCCTTGCTTAAGTTGTTTCTAATTTATATATATTTTTTGCTTCTTATGTTTAAATAATTAAAAAATGTTGAATTATTACTTTTCAGTTTTCATTTAGCTAGAAAGTTACACATAAGCCACACTTGCTTTTGCATAGCTTCCATTTTATTATATTTTGCACAGTTTACTAGTATTTTTAAGTTTTTATTTTCTAAAAAAAAAATTTATTTCTCTGCCATTCCCTAGTAAATTCGAGTTCAACACTTTAGCTTTTAGTCTTGCTTTTCCTTTTAGAGGGAAAATTTCATATTTTTTTAAATATTATTTTATACATAAATTACCTTTTGCTGTCACATACACATGTGACTTCTAATTACTTTACAGCTAGAGTGTTTCAGTGTTTGTATCTGCGTGTGTATGTGTGTTGTTCAGAATGACTGTAATGCAATTATTTGCGAACCCCGGCTCAATGTATGACACATTGTAGCACTTATTTTCATATATTTTAAGTTTTGATTTGAATTAAAATTTGCACTATTATAGAAAAAATTATATTGTATATAACATAAATCGGCTGCATGATAATCATTACTTTTTTTTAAGCTACAGAGTTCTAATATTTTCTTGTCCTTTATATATTTTTAAGTTGGTATAACATGAAAAAAAATTCTTTACTAAAAAAAAATGATTTACAAAATTTAGTTCAGCTGATTTATAGAAAAAAAAAAATTGAATAAATAGTTGTTAAAAACAACAATAATTGAGATATATGGCTAAATGTATGATTTAAAAATGCTTTAAAACTTTACAAAAATACTAACTTTTGTTAAAAATTAAAAAAAAAACCTTCTGCAGTTTATAAAAACGTTGCAAATAATACTCAAGACAGCTTTTTAAATAAACAATGAATTGATTTTAGACGCAAATTAGAAAAATAAATAAATTAAGGTTTTTATATTACATATTTCGGAAGCTCTAATCTAGTAATAACATTTTGAATGTTATTGAAAATAGCGATGCTTAAAAGTCATTACTTTAGAAATATTTAAAAAAGTTTGAAAAAGATTAAATACCATATTCTAGTGTTTAAAATTTTTCGTTACTCACATAATTGTTTAGTACTTTGTAAATTAAAATAGAAAGCTCATTATAAAAACATAAAAATTTTTGAAAGAAAAAAATGATTTTAATAAATATTTTAGTTTTACGCAAAATAAAAGTTTTTTAAAATTGTAAAATTAAAAAAAAATATTTATTGAAATATATTATATGTATTTAATAATTTAAAGATTAGAATTTTATAAAATTAAAAAAATCGAAACAAAATTTATTTAAATATTAAGAAAGTGAGTTGAGTCTTTCTTAAGTCAAGAATTCAATAATATTTCAAAAAATGCAGCTAAAAATTTTCAAATATAAAAAAAAACATAAGGAATAACAAAAAATAAATAAAATATTTGAATTAAAACTATAAGGTAAATTAAATAATAATATCTTTTTTATTACGCCAATTGTTTGCACGCGAAAAGCAATGAACTTATTATTTTTTCTTTAGTAACGTTTTAGTATTTTGTTTTTCTGTAATTCTTCAAATTCAATTCGGTATAATTTTCAACTTTTAATATACATTTTGCATTTCAACTTTATAAATAACAAATAGTTATACAAAAATAAATAAAAATCAATTAAAATTAAAAATAACATTATTGTAAAATTTAGAGAGTTCATAAATTAAATGAACAACAGATTAAAAAATATATAATAATGCACATTTCAAGCCACATATTGTGTATAAAATGCATTATATATATATATTTTTTTAATTCCAGCTCTCGTTGCAATCCTGTGCATAACATACTTCTTTAATAACTCAACGCTCAAGTAAAATTTTGAAATTTTTCGAACAATTTTCTTACGACACATATTTTTTGCTTCATTTTAGCTTTTTTTCAATTTTTGCATTTACCGATAAGTATGTAATATTATATAGGCTTGCGTCAAGTGCTTTTAAAATAGTCAGTAGGCTTCGTAGTCAAGTGGTTTATCGAAACTTCAGCCATTTTGTGTGTAAATTTGAATTTTTGAAATATTATAAACGTTAATACGTCTGTGTGCGTGTATGTTATGAGTTCGAAATTAAAATCGCTAAAGGTATGCGGGGTCAGTTATAACGCTATAGGTGTGTTCAGCCGCTATTAAGTTAACATTTTCCATTTTCAGCTTGAAAAACTTTTAAAAACGTTTTATTTTTGCTTTAAATTACAACCTTGCGTTTCGTCTTGTGTTTATTTTTATGCTTTACTAGTTATGTAATATTTGCATATGTGTCCAGCAATGCTTTTGTTAAATTATGTTTGAATGGCAAGAATGAGCTTTTTGTGTTGTAAAAGTAGCTACCATTTTGTCTTAACTGTAGTTTTTCAAAATTGTTCTAATTGCAAATGAATGAAATTTATTTGCTGCAGCGGATTTGAAAGTCTGTAGTAGTTTCATTTTGTTGTCATACATTTGTGCTGAGTGTGTTGTGTATGTGTGTGTGTTTGAGTGTTTTTGCATGCTTTACACTCCGTGTTTCATTGTTTCTTATTGCTTTTTGGCAATTTTTTTGTAGTTTTAAAGTAAAATTATCCATTTGCTTCATGTACATATAATATTTACCGCTATATGCATGTACATATATGTTGCTTTTTATATTTTTGTATTTTTTTTCTTCTCTTTTGTCTTGGCTATGCTACTATGAAATTTCTAAATTTATATTGTATGTATGTATGCTTTCATTTGCTTCCTCCTTTGTGTCTTCCTTTTTTAACATTTTGTCCTTCATCTCAGCTCGTTTGTTTTGTTTTTGCTTCAGTGTTTTTTATGTTCTTTTTTTGTTAGCAAAAAATTGCATTTTTTTGTAAATTTTAAACTTTATTTAATTTTTTTTTTGTATTTTTTGGCATTTTTATTTTAGTTATTTATTTCACTAGCTGCTTGTAGTTGGTTTGTTACTAACGTATTAGCAAAAAATTTTGCGCCTTTTCGGTGATTTTCTTACATAACCCCGCTACTCTCCGTCACATTCCACCGTGATGGCTTTGATTCTCACTCCCCGACGGTTTATGCTCAGCCGCTGCCGTCGTCACAGTTGCTGCTTCCGGCTTGTTATGTTCACTCTCATCACACTCTTCCAGTTCGGCTAGATTTTCTTGATCGGACTCTTCAAGTGTTACCTGCAGCAGAGAGTTGCGTAAGTTAATACAGGTTTAAAGTTTTGGAGTCGATTTGCAGCCACGAAGAGGCGTAGCGATTTTATATGCACTTTGCATGAAGTAATGAGAAAATTTGCAATATTTTCATATTTTTTAATATTTTGGTTAAATGTTCATTGAAATGTTTGCATATAAAATGCTACACCTCTCCCCGGCTGCCAATCGCATTTTGTTTGATGAGTAACGCACTACTGTTCTATCTGCGGCCATTGGTGTTAGTGTGACTACTTGTATGTTATTTTTCTACTATTTTTCTAGTTATTTTCTCAGCAACTCACTTGAAATCGTATCTTATCGTCGGAGGGTTGATCGTCGGCCGCCGATGGTGGTGGTGATGGTGGTATCATGCTCTGATAATAGTCTCTATTCTCTTCAAGCGTATCAAGTATATCCTGTGCATCGGGATGCACCAGATCGGCCCATGTCTCCCACAATGGATGCACAATATAATCGATAAATCCGACCTGCGATTTTTCGATTGTGGCATTATGACGATCACACATGGGACTAATGTCCATGCCCGATTCACGTTCTTTATCGCCCTGCAAAAAGAACTCCTCCATAAGTAAGCTGACCCAGCGTTTGTACAATTGCAACGGTTTAGTTGGATTACTTAAATCGGCACAATGTACCAGATTTTCGAGCACCTGCAAAGGGGAGCGACGAGAAAGGGACATTAGTAAATGTATGTCTAAATATATCTTATATACTAGCAAAAGTATACATACATATATCTATTCTTCATAATTTTTTTTAATTTTTTATATCGATTAAATTTTTAAAATTTATATCAATTTCATTATTATAAATGACCGATTGTAAAAATAAAATGGGAAATATAACATAATGTTAAGTATTATAGTTGAAAAATATTACCGTGTTAAAAATCGTGTATTATTTTTTAAATAAAAAGTGAGTCTAAGAGTGGTAAGTAAGAGCTATGAGTGTATCAGAATATTAAATGCTCTCATGGTTGAAGGAAAATACACATTAAGTAATATACATTTATCATTCTGTTATTATAACAGCTCAACTATTTATTGACTGATCGAACATGAGACACAGGAAGCGTGCGTTATAAATACTTGTAGGTTGAATACATAAGACTTAAGGTTTTAGATAGCTTAGATGTGTAGGACTATAAGACAAAGATAATCCAAGAAAGTAATTAAAAGGTCGGTATATTGGAGTTAAAAAAATATGTACCGCCACTTAATGATAGAGTCATCTATAGTAAAATCTGATAGCATCAGATGGTTTTACAAGGAAAGCGGCTTGATTTTAATCGGATATGTCCAGTGAAAAGGGGCGAAATTAGTGCATCACGAAGCAAATTTAATTGGTATTTGTTAAATCAGTCATATTTCTTATATATTCAAATTAAACCACTGCTTTCTCCTTTAAGAGGTCATAGGACAACTTTTTGTGTATATTAATGAAGAAAAAATATGAAATTAATAACATTAGAACCTTTTAGGGTCATCACTTTACTATAAATAAGTTATTTTAGCAAATAAATATGCAAAGTTAAAATAGTTAAGCTATCATATTTAATTACTCATTTTATTTATATCATAATACTTGTCTTACCTGTATGCGATCGGTGTAGTTGTCCAGCAATAGCACACCGGAGCCGGCGACCTTTTTCGTCTCGACCATAGTCTTTAAATCGGCCAGCAAGCTCATGTGTTTTGACATGTCCGTTGAGAGCACAATATCGATAACCATCTTCCTTAATGTTTGGCGTTGTTTCCTAGAATAAATCAACCGAAATATTAGTTTCATATGTAGTATGTATTTTATAACATTCAGCAAGGAAGAATACTGAGATAAAGGCAGTAAAAAATAAATAAAATAACTCAACGGCAAGCCTACGCAATGAATTTCTTTAAAATAATTTTTAATAACTGTTTGTTTCGCAAATATCAACAATACTAAAGCCTAAAAAACAAGTATGTAGATGGCAACTCTAACATTTACAATTTTGTTTAAGAAAACTCTGTCGTACTGTAAAAATAGTATGAAACTGGAGCATGAAGATCTGCATCGAGTATAATTATACTATGAGGGCATAACTTATATGGTAGACCTAACGGTTCAATTGATAATTAATTAGGTATAATATCGTTTTTGTATATATTAAATTATACTTACTTTTGCATATTACAGAATATATCACATCCTTGATTTTGTAATAATTTAAAGGCAACTGCTAAATGATGATTTTCCAAAACAGATTCGTCATTATACATTAAGGCTAATTCGGAACCTAGAAGAATAAAAATAATATACGAATATCAATAAAATAAAATTGAGTGTATTTTCAAAAAGGGCAGTTCATAGAATATTATCTATCATTCGTTTTATTGTTAACTGTGTTTGAGACTCAAAAATGGTGTAGTCTATAAGGTCCAAATAACGAGATAATTGAATAATGATGTTCTCTGTTACGTTAACGTTTCTTGGTTTGGCTCTTGGAGTGGTTCGTAGTGAACAAAGATTGTGCTAAAAAATTTTTATATTTATACACCATTTAGCAAATCCTTTACTAGATATTGAAATCGATATAAATGAATAAGACAAATTAATTGCCAAAAATTTAATACGACCTTCGGCTTCAGCAGTATAACAGCTCAAGTAACAATCGTGTTCACGCTGCCGATCTAGGTAATCGCAGTTGACTATCTTGTGGTTGCACGTTAATGTGCCGATTTTAGACTGAATAAACCATGTTAGATGAATAAAGCATAAATGATTCAGACCTTAAAGGGAGTGCCGAAGAAGTAATTTGCAATTTGGAACCAAAAAAGTCGCTACGGCTTTGGAAAACTAGGGTAAAAGTTGACATCCAGTGTAAGAACTATATGGCATCCCAAAATAATATTACCCTCCCATACTTCAACTTATTCCAGGGCACCATAGCCCGGTCACTGACTGTCATAACCGTGGTCTTGGTTATTCCCCTCATACATCTCATATTCAATCTTATGTAATATTTGATAATACTTCTACTGGGCTAAACTTACTTGAATTAACTAAAAATTGATTCGTTAAACCAGGATGATCAACATCGTGTATACAAGCAGCAAACAATGCTCCGCCCACTTCCAACGATGTGAATACACCCTCCAGCGCTGGTGTATTGAGCAGTACATTTGTACTTTGTGTCACATCGGCCGCATGTAGTGAATTGTGAAACGGATTGTCTTTAACATAATGATCCTCCAGAGTAGTCATAAAATTAATAAAAGTTTTCGGTGGTATCATAAGACTGGTCAATAGTTCTCTACTCTGCAGGGGGCATAGGAAAACAAACAATATAAATATTAATTCTTAATTTTTTTGTTTAATAAAAAGCGAGTATTACCTGAAATATGGTATATGCCACACAGGTGAGCGGACGATTGGCGCTCAAATCGCCAATCTTGAATATGTCAATGCCCCACATATCGACGTCGCCGAGCAGTGTGCCGAGCGCATTCTCGTGCACCGTTTCCACACCGAATGTGGGCAGACGTTCGCCGGTGAAAGAGTTCGTATGGGAGAGTGGTCGTTTCACGCCCGATATCTGTGACATGGGCGGACCACGTGGCGAACGGCAACGCTGATGCTGGGTAAGCATATTGTGTTGGTCGGGGTTATCTTCGCCGCGCATTGATGGCAGGTCCAATTCTTGTTGCTTGTCTGTAAGGAAAAAATTTATGAAAATTTTATAGAGTCGAGTGTTTAAATAAGTTTTTATTATATTTTCTGTTAAATAGTTATAAAGAAGCAAAATTAATTTTTTTTTCGGTTACATTAAAATTATTTAAATTTTAGCTACATAAAACATTGTGTAAAAACATTTTAAAACGCTATCAAGTTAACAATCTATATATAAAAACCGGGTTCGTTTCGGTTATGTCGAACCGATTTATTCATTTTCTGCTTCGATATACTTACGTAAGTATAAATATACATATTTTCATTTATAAATCTATGCTTTTCGTACATTTCGCTTTCTCTGCGCATAATTCTTTCAATTCTCGGAAAATTTCACTTCATAAAAGATGTACATATCTTCATTATTATGTAAATCCATACCCATTTGTAAATTTTTAGTTGTGTATGTGTGTGTTTTGTATTGGTTGGGATTTTTCTTCTCGTTACACAGATATTTACAGTAAACATTTTTACAATATATATTTTCTTTGGAATACTTAGTTTTGACGGTTGAAAGATTATTTATTGATGTTTGAATTTGGGTAAAAATGCTTGAGATTATTTAACATATTTTAAAATGCAAATAATATTTCCTCAAGGCTTTAGCCACTTACGTATACATATATATATGGTATGTATGTAAGGTAATGTAAGTAAGTGGAATGCTTAGCGGGGATGTTGATAAGCAATAAAGCAGAGGATGTAATATGAATTTCGCTTTTCACCAACGGCGGTTTTCATAAGAGAAATCAATACTGGCTCCCGTTATAATTCGTAATTGTTTTTCTTATTTCTTTGGGTAGTAAATGGAAAATTTAAAGTCGAGTTTAACACAGCAACATAATGAGTCCCCATGATATGATTGCTCCGGTAAAATTATCTAGTAAATTTTTGGTACTTTCCTGTACTCAATGTTACGAAGTCCCACCTTAGATTTTCTACTCTCTGATATCTTTGATAGTGTATTCACTACTGCCATTTCATTGCAATGAAAAATAGTTTATTTTTTATTTCTTTATCTTAACCCAGCTATTCTTCGATTCCAGGCATCAGTATTTCTATACGCTTTTGGAAAATTCTTTGAAATTCTTTAGCCCGTTAAAAACTACTGATTGGGATGGTTCTATATCATAGTTCAGTAAAATGATGCAGTAGTCACGCTTAAAAATCCCAGAAATATATTATGGTCTTCTTGTTATTTTTAATTCACTGTCAATACCTTTAGATTTTTCATAGTATACTTCCATCTTCTGTCGGCAAGAGATGTTACCGTTGTTGTTGTAACAACACAAAAAATAAATTCTGAATTGTTTTCCAAATTGCAAAGGCAAAAAAAAGAAGAGGAAGAGCTAGTATCTTGATTTGAATTTGTCATTTCTTCGGAATTCATAAGAAAAACCATGGCTTAAATTACAGAAGACACACAGTTAAAATGAGCAATATGTTTTGGAATAAGAAAATTTCCTTAATTAAGCCAATTATAGATCTGTACCAGCCCCCTAGAAAAAATTCTCTTTTTTATATCCTGACCAGGATATATTAGGTCTGTAACACCCAAAATGAAACATCGGAGATTCGTCGAGCTGAGTCGACTTAGACTTGCCCATCTGTTTGTTCGCCTGTATACACACGAACTTGTCTCTCAGTTTTTTAGATATCGGTCTGAAAGTTTGCACATGTTCTTCTTCTCCACAAGGAGTTACTTATTTGTTGAAATCATCGATATCGAAACACAAGCATATATAGTAGCTGCCATACAAACTGACCGACCAAAGTCAAGTTCTTGTATGGAAGGCTTTTTTATTTGACAAAATATTCTCACAAAATTCGGCATCGATTATTGCCCACGACAAAGCTAAAACCTTTTTTTTTAAATATAACCACTATTGCATATAGCTGCAATACAAACTGATCGATCAAAATCAAGATAAAGATCTACTTACATCTTTTTATGTTATTAGAAATACACCTTTAAAGGGTGTTATAGTTTCGGTCCAGCAAAAGTTAGTTTTATTTTTCTAGTTGCTTTTACAAAAAATCATTGTTAAAAATGCCAAGATCATTTTTCAGGACTTCTTTGAAAAGAATATTCTTTCTCTATTTCGAAAGTTTTTTGAGATCTATGGTATTGAGTACAAACACGTCAAGCGGACCCCTAATTTTCCACTTGATCACCGAATTTGAATGTGGGTATTTTTTCATAAAGTAGTCATCATGAGCAAGTAATCATGATGCTCAGTTTTTTTTTAAATTAAATTTTAACAACAATTTTTTTTTAATTGAAAATTTTTACTACTTTTAGTTAAAAAATTAATAATTAGAAAACTAATGGTGATTTTTTAATGAAATTTTCAGGAGTTATAGCTCAAAACTTGTACTTTGAGAAAATATGTATGAATTAAAAATTTTTTTTTTTCAAATTGTTAATTAACTTTTAAGTTAAGAAATGAAAATTTTAATGACTTCTCCCTCAAAATATTAAAACAATTTTTTTTAGTATTTTGCAATAAACATTAAAGTAACGAAATCCGCAACAAAATTTGACTGATCGCGATAATCTAATCAGCAAAAAAAAATTTTTATGACGGGCGGTCTTTGATCGCGGATTTCTAAACTTTACTAGAAAAGAGACATTGCATAAATTATTGGGGAATCACTATATAAATATAACATAAGTAGTTGTGGAGCCTCATGAGTTCTTTGATCCTTTAAAAATGTATACATATATTTTAAACTCATTAGTGCCGACTACTTCACTTAGTTCAATCCGAAAATCTTGAACAATTTGCTATAGAAACTATAACAAAGACTGATTAATTGAATTTTATGAATGAATAAAGTCATTTTTCTAACACATACACATTTACCAGTTTGAATAATTACCGCAACTGCAACAGATATTAACAATATACATTTGTATACAAACATACATTAAGAGGTGGATACAAAAGAGACGCAAATTCCCAATCATTGCGCTGGTGTCGATGCGAAAGATCCAATAATGGGTTGATTTAACTGCCACATATGGTGTTCACAAATGCAGATATGTCTGTATGTATGTGTATACAAAATGAGACTTTTGTATGTATGTGTGTGTAAACAAGCGATTCTGCAAATATGCTTTGATGTGACTATATGCATATTTGTTAAGTTAAGTGAAATATGCCAACATATTAGAGGCACTTATGTATGTAAATGAAATTTACCTCAAAACACAAGCAAGACAAACACATATGCACATAAATATATTCATTTACATATATTAGTATATATTATATGAATGCGTTCAAATATGTGTATTATACTTTTTATATGTATGTGTATAAAAAAAAAGTTGTGTGCATATAAACATTTGTCTCGAAGGGAATTGTCGGATTTGCTAAAAAGCAAACTAAGCGCATGTTGTGAGGGAAATATTGGTATGCTGAGTGTTGAGTGAAATCTACTAGGCAGTAGAAAGTTATGGGACTCATTTGACCTCTGGCGCAGAAAATTGGTTGCTTGACAATTTGGCAAAGCAAGAATTTAAGATGTTGCTGATGGGATAAGTATGCATACGTGTACGCCTATGTGTTACTGTGTGTCTCCTGTGAGAGCGAAAAAAAGTCATTGGGAGAAGAGGAATTGAAATGAGTCCCAAACACATCTTTTGCTTGTCAATTTTAGAATTGTATTTAGCTAAATTGCTTAAAATGGCTCATAATGTGAACATGGTTTTCATATTACCTATTTCTAGAGATTTGTGAAGCTATCGTACAACAAAATAATAATAAATAAGGAATAACTCTCTTTGCTTATGTGGTTTTCGACATTTTGAAAAGAGTGGGCATACTAAAGAGCGCTTACACTGAACAACGTTGGACATCTCTTTAACAATGTATTTGCTGTTTCTTTATACGAACAATACAAAATTGTATTAAGGATATGAGGTTCAGACTCAGACCAATTTCATTTATATTCAGATCCTTTGGGAGAAAGAAACGTGTGCAAAATTTCAGAGTGATATTGTACAAAATGAGGGACTAGTGCATTAAGACAAACAGACTGCTCGTTGCGCTGACCATTTGACTTTATAGAGTCTCCGACGTTTCCCTATGGTTGTAACAAACTTCGTGCCAAAATTAATATAGGTCCGATGTTCAATTTATAATTAGAAAACATTATTAAGAGGTTGATCAATCTTTATCATTATATTAGATGTATCATGTATCGACAATTTTCAAGATATTCAGTCAGGCATCTCTATCTAAATTTGTTTCTTTACTTGTATTGGTATAATAGCTCCGTTTAAGTTTTAAGTGATTTCTATAAGTAAGTGAACATACATATAAAGGATCTTACAAATTCATACCTTTACTTTATAGAAAATAAAAAGCACCTAGATTGTTACTCATTCATATTGTTTAAGTATATGTTTTTAAAGGATATTTTACATGTCTTTTTCGACTTCGATTTTTTTTATTTTTGAGCCGAAAGGTAGGCATTGTTTTGATATGAATTTTGTTTTTGTATTGAATGCCAAAAGACTCTTTTTAAGTAGTAAAATGTAAGGGGAACTCGTTATAAGGTTAGAAGCTAAACATTCTTTGATAGTGCCTATAGTCAATGTTACTCATATTAAAAAATCAGCGAAATTACTAAATAGTTTTTGAGGAGATTAAAACAAATCTAATATTCAGCATCTAGGCGGTAAGATTTATTTGTATACTCTGTTATAAATTTCGGTCAATGTGTGAAATATGTAAATTCGGAGATAATCTTTTCCTGATAATAGTTTGTCTGAATGTCGAAAATGAATTGAATCAAATCAAGAATTTCCTTAGTCCCCATATACCTAAGAGACAAATTTTCAAATTTCCGAATTTATAATTGTCGATAAGTTTAGCGGATATACATATGTCAGTAACAATAAGTAGGAAAAAGAGGAAAAATTGAATTCGGCAGAAACTGAGCATCACATACTCTCGCAATTTGTAGCGATTGCGAATTTGTATTTTCAAAAATGTATTAAAAAAAATTAACTTCAAGTATATCCATTATCTTGAGGAAAAGGAAGCATTCAACTATATTTATTAGATTAATTGAATTATTGATTTTATTTTTTCGAAAAAAGTTGCGATATAAAAAAATTAATATTTATTTAAAAATTATTGCAACCAAGTGTAAATGATTTTCAAACAAATATTGTTAGCGATTTTTCTTTTAATTCAGCGTAAGCAAAGCCGAGGTCATTATATAGTTCATAAATAAAAAGAAGCGAACTTTTCTAAACCAAAACAAAAATTCATATTTTTACTTCCTCGCAACGTATCTCCTCCATAATCTAATTTAAAGTATTTGCGCTTTCAACTTTCTTCCTCCACAGCTACTTTGTGTTTACTCTCTGCATATATCTGGGCTTATTAAATTCTCGTTGCTGCTACAATTCCGCAGACTTTGTTTGTTATAAGACGGCTGCTATAGTAAAATATTTTATAACCATGTTATTTTCTTACTTTACTACGCATTTGCAAAGGGAAAATTTGAAATTCTGCGCGAAATTGGTTTGCGCGCCTGAGTGTATGCAACGGTAGAGTAAGAGTTACATTTAAAACGTTGCACATACATTGTTGTTGCACGTAGCAAATACCGACAATGACCGACTGGCGTACAAATTCGCCCAAATGCCACAGTTAGTGACTGTGATATTCGTATATACCGTTTTTTGTAAGCATATATATATACATATTATATATATATATATATATATAATATATGTTTCTGTGTGTGTTTAGTATGTCTAGCAATGCTCTCAAGTGCCCGCGTACCTAGTGGCTAACCTAAGCTGTGTATTTAGTTTAGTAAGTCAAATCGTCAAGTGTGCGCTTGAACGCTCGCCGACTTTGTGTGCAGATTGTTTTACACGCCAAGTGGCGATTTTTGCTCTCCTTATGTGTGTATTTGTGTGAGTTGCACGTCTGCCGACTGGTACTTAATTTAAATTTTAAATTAAAAATAACTCATGGTGAGCAGAAAATCTAACTCGTTATGAAATGCGAAAAGTAGAAACAGGGAAAATGCATAAAATTGGATCTCTCGAAAGCATCAAGTGAGATTTTATTACACTTTTATTGCGATTTCTATTTTGGCTCACGGTTTGTCTGCGTTGATTGAGTAACTAAGCTGGCGACGTCAATTCGTGAGTGGCAGGCAGTTCGTTTGTTATAGCTTTCGTTTTGAATGCTCGCATATATGTGATTAAAATTCTTGCTTTGAGAATGAAAAAAATTATGAATTGCGCCGCAAAATGGCAAACGCTGCTACAGTGATCGCGCTTTTGGCAATTGTGGGCATGACAACTGATTTGTACGCGTAATTTACAATTTTATATATTTAGACCACTTTACACGACTGCAACTTATATATGATTTCAGGTTGTAGGCAAGTAAGCGCCATTTGAAAGATTTGTTAAAGAAGAGTACGCACACAAAGCAACAACCACCCAGCAGTGGCTTAAAAGCAATATTCCTGATAGGGGAGTACTAAGAGAGAAGTTGGATAATTAAACAATATATATGTACTATACATACTTTTTACATAATTCTGGTATGTACCACAATTTAACCGGACGGTCTAGATATTGCAAGATCACAACTCGTGAGAGTATTTCGGTTCTACCGACAGCTGAATAGCATAAATAGTTTTGTATATGAATTTCAAAATCAATTTATATATATTACTATTCACAGTATTCAGATATTGGTATTCTGCTTCGAAATGAGTCATAGCCTCGTCGACTTTCTTCCCCCCCAAATGTACAATATTTTGGAAGCACAAAGCATACGCATTCATTTTACTTAATGTTTTAATGGCTCCCTTTCGAGAGCGAGTTTAATAGACATGGAGCTTTAATTGACACACATAATAATTTAATCTGAGTAAATATGCCTAAAATCAATTGACTATTGCATATAAGGACCGTGGGTTATTGAACCTATTCTAAATAGTTATATTTCATTGAAATAATTAAAGCGTATTTCAAATAAACCATCTTTTCACTTCTATAACTCAGAGCTAATTCCTTCATAAACTTTGGGTACATACCCACCTATATGTATATGGATATGTAAATATTTATATAAATCCCATGTAAGGTTCAAATTAATGTTTGTTTAAAATTCTGTGTACTTGTTAGTGTTCAAAAGCTGGAAGCACCACTTCATTCAGGTACATACGAATATATACGTGTACCTATAAACTTAAGCCTTTTGGCATTAATTTCGACATGCAGCAATCAAACTTTAAGTTTTTACGGTTATTTCCTGTTGGCAGCGCGCAGAGTGTTATTTGAGGAACAAGCTTCTGTTTTACTGCTCAAAGGTTCTCATTTCCTGTTTATGTGCGTAAGTTTATGTTATTTTACAAAAACTAAACTTTATTATTATATTTATGGTATATATAAGCATGTTTGTATGTATATACGAAAGTAAAATATTTTTAAGGAATGTTTGTAAAGTTATTACTCACCCAAAAATGTGGAACAAATATACTCCGATATTTGATTGCCAGATCTGCTCGACTCGCTGAAGTGTGATAATTCTTTATTGAGCATACGCTTGAACTGCACGTAGAAAATACAGAGTGAGGAAGAGAGCGTGAGATATAAAATTATTGATTAGTTGCGCTGATATACGAGTATAGTAGAAGATGATTCATGGTATATTCAAATATGTAAATTTAAGATGATAAAATATATTTCTTATATATATCCATATATTTATTTTATAAGCATAATTAATAACAAATTAATCAATCAATAAATTATTGACTCATTGCGCCTAACTGCTGCTGTAAAAATTAGTTTTTTTCGACATTCATTTAAGATATTATTCTTCGAAATTGAACTTTTTCGGAAATATAAAGCTATATTCACAAAACATATAGATTAGGGTGCTTAACATTTTTTTTTAATTATCCTCTTAAATATCTCTATTTGATGTAAAAATTTTCACTTAACATGAACCCGATCGCTCAACTCAAAGGGGTAGCTATTTTTATACCCTGAACGGGTTTATTAAGTTTGCCACGAAGTTTGTAACACCCAGAAGGAAACGTCGGAGATCCTATAAAATATATATATAAATGATCAGCGTGACGAGCTAAATCTATTTAGCCCTGTCCGTCTGTCCGCCCGTCTGTATATATACATACGAACTAGTCCCTGAAATTTCACCTCCTCTGAAATTTTGCACTCGTCTTTTCTCAATAAGAAGCTGCTCATTTGTCGGAACGGCCGATATCGGACCACTATAGCATATAGCTGCCATACAAACTGAACGATCGGAACCGAGTGCTTGTATGGAAAACTCTTTCATTTGACTAGGTATCTTTCCGAAATTTGGCATGGATTATTATTTAAGGCAACAATGGAATCTCCGAAGAAATTGTATAGTTCGGATGACTATAGCATATAGCTGCTATACAGACTGAACGATCGGAACCAAGCGCTTGTATGGAAAATTTTTCCATTGACGAGGTATCTTGACGAAATTTGGCAAGAATATAATCTCTGAAAAAATTGTTTAGATCGGATTGCTATGTCATACAGCTATCACATAAACTGAACGGTTGGAGTAAAGTGCCTCCATGGAAAAAAATTTAATTTTTTATTGCCGATTCACGAAATTAGATCTGAATCAAGTTATTGTAAGGAACCTTTGTATCTGTGAAGGGTATTATAGTTTCGGTGTAACCGAAGTTACCGTTTTTTCTTGTGTATATTGGTTTCACATTTAACAAGCATGGAAAAAATTATTTTTTTTTATTATTATCAAATATGTAATTTATTTCTGTATGAACAAAAACAGGAAGGCCAACGCAATTATTGTATCACAGAGGGTTATATATCCTACAAGCAATATTACTTGAAATTTAAAATATTTGCTGATAAATTACTTTATTTAAGGAGTATGTGGTTAATAATTCCGCTTTCCAATTTATTATGAACCATAATGAGTATCTCGCCAAAATATTTGTAGCTAATGCTGGAACACTGGAGTTTCACTTAAGTATGATCTCTCAGATCTGAGAATCCTTAATAGTTATTTCGTTAGTTCTAATGAAGAATAAAGAACGCATATGTTTGATCCCTTGAAGAAAGGGTGGGCAAGTATAAGGAAAGAGGTTCGATGAGCACTAAACTTTTACAAAGAAAAATCGGAACTAGATTAAAATATGAGATTTGTTTTTTATTCTCAAACACGTATATATTTATGTTATTATTTACTTCAAGGATCTGAACAATCTCCAGTAGATATTGAGTTTGATTAACTGCCAGATGTGAATTGACTGCGCAGAGACGAGTTAAAACAATTGAGAGATAACGAGCATTATAAACACTTAAGAATTTCCGAAAATCAATTTTTTTTAGAATATATTTTTAATTTTTAAAGTTGTAAAGTTTTGAAATTTGTGTAATCGGTTCCAAACGCTGGATCGTCTTTAATTATTCCAATTGTTTGTTCTATTAATCATTCTTCATGATCTGAGGAATCAGAGACAGCTATATAATCTCAAATGGTAAAAACGGATTTTTGAAAAGGAACTTATTTTGTTACGAGTAGGAATTTTTGAATAAGTACTTCTTTAGGTTTCTGAATATGGCATTGTTTCACAGGAATAAAAGGTTTGAAGAAACACACCCTATTTTTCTTTTGAATACTGGACTGGATTTAACTGCTTTATCCTTTTATGTGTTTACGTGTGCGTAATAATTTTCATCCTCACACAATTTATATCTCATGAAAAATAACTTTTATAATACTAAAAAAGTCATCTTGAGATGACAGCTGACATTTGCTCCAACAAAGCAACTGAACGTCTTCTAAGAAGGGTTTACAATTAACATAAGTAAAGTAACATAATTGATTTTAGTAATTGTTTTCCAAAAATTTTGTTAACTTACTTTGAGCGATGCCATGTCCGATACACTGCGATGTGTCTGTATGGTCTCCAGTTGGTCCAAACACCAGTCTAACTCCTCGATGGTGTCTGTGGCCAAACGTGTATAGGATTCATCGCCTTGGACCAATTGAACGCCGGCTGTAGATGCACGTCCCATGCTGGACGATTGTGTTGGGCGCCTGGATCTTTTCGCATTAATTATTTGTTCCAAAGACAAGAGACACACACACAAATACACATACAAACACACAAGCAGACACAAACGAAAGCACACGAGAGCGCATACAAATTTTTCGCATGAAAAAGTTATGACAAAAAGATCAGAAAAAAAAATGAAAACAAAGCGATATCACAAACGAACCGACAAAGCAAGCAAAACAGGAAAAAATAATAAATACAACAATAACATTGCAAACGCAGCAGCAACAACAACAACGATAATATAACAATAAACACAGATGAGTTGAAACGAGCAGTAAATGGACAACAATTGAAACGGTTCGCAGGACGAAAATGCAAAAGGTGTGAAGAAATAATTTTGTTGTTTTTGTTTTTGCCAAAGTGTTAGTGGCCGCATTTAGAATAAGTTAATTGGAGTAAAGTGCGTTAATAGATTAGCGCAAAAAACAAATAGTTGGAGAGTTGTTTTTTATTTTATATATTTTTTTTTAAGTTTGATTTTTTTCAATTTTAGGTTTATTGTTGTTGTTGCAGTTGGTAATATTTGTTATTTATCGATGGTTTTAGTTTTAAACAGTTTTTTTATAGGCAAATTAATTTTTCACAATTTCAATTTTGAGTTGTTGTTTTTGGCATCAAATGAAAATATTTCGCAATTCGACAGTTACAAATGGTTCAACGAAATAATAATACACATATTCAAATATATGATTTCAAAATTGTGTACATGTTTATGTTTGTATGTGTAGAGCGAAAATACATATTTTTGATTGACATCAAAATGCGGGAAGGACCAAACAGGAAGAGAAAGAGAAAAAGACAGAGAGAAAAAATACGTATATCAAAAAAACAGAGTAAGCACTTGTTGTTGTTGTTTTTTTTTACTTTGGTGAACAACAACAATATTGGTTTAAAATTTACTTTATAAATATATATTTGTTTAAATAATTTTATAAAAAGGGATGATTATATTAGTGACAAATATTTAACGTGTTTGCATAATTCGAATATACAATTAAGATAATGGTATTGTAGGGGTTGTGTTTGAAGTTACGGCCATCGATTTAAAGTGGATAACATTTAAAAGTAATTTATTGAGAATATTAAAAACTAAAAATAAAATATTAAAGTGGGAGTTACACATAATATTTATCTGGGGACAAGTGTTGAATTAAAGCACCAGAAGCTATATGATGTTTATGTGACAGTGGAGCGAAAAAAGGAGTTTTTAATATTTTGAATTTATTATTGGAATTTTTAAATTAATTTAATGAGGAAAATTGTGGAAGATCTAAAAAAATATTTTTTGTAATTTAATTTTTTGAAAATTACAAAACCTTTTAACTTAATTTTTATATGAATACAATATATTTTCTTATGAAAAAAATTATTTCCCATCATTCAAAATGTTGCTTTATTTAAATATTCGATTATACATATTTGTAATGAGTGCTATGTATCTTCAATACCTCATGTTTTTTTTTAACAAAAAAAAAGATTTTAAATTTTCTAATATTTATCACAAGTCACAAGAACTTAAACTGAAAGCTTGTATATTTTGAAAAAAGCACGTCAACGGCTAGCTAATCACTCAGTAAAAAAAAATATATATTTAGAGCACTTCTACCCAATTTATTGCTCCACTGGCACAAACACTTAAATTTATCTTTAAATTCACTATTTGCCAGATAATTTTTTTAATTTAACTGTTTTCTGTATAAATTTCACATTTCAACACAATTCAATTGAAGGTACGTTGCTACATTAAACATTTTTTGTTAGGTAAAAATATTTTAATATATGCATTGTGAAAATATTCAAATCTGTTATTAGCATTATTTGGATGAACAAACACGAGGGGTTAGTAGAAAACACTATCAATAAATTTTAGAAAAATTCTCTTAAAAACATTTATGCACTTAAATAGTAGAATAATAACAAATGGGCAAAATTGTGTGTGTGTGTGTTGTATGCTTTTAGGCGCACGCATACTTACTTGTTGGATGCTTGTACATTTGTCAGACTTAAGAGATTGTTGCGCACCGAACGTAAGCTGGCCAAAATTTGGGCAAATGGTGTCACAATAAGATCCTCACCATGGCTGTAAATATGAAGAAAAACACCGAATGTTAAAATCGATGAAGGGGAAGAAAATGTAGCATAAAAAATAATATTATAATAGCTAATCGCAATATCGATGAACACCATTTGATACATAAGAGTTTGACTACAAACACACATTTTTACTTTATATTATATATATATTTATACAATGCAGAAATGAAAGCGCTTTAATTATTTTTAAAAGCATAATTGCTAATTAAACTACATAAGGCAATAGAGCCAATATATACAATTAAAAGAAATTATTATTATTATTTTTCTAAGTTTTTCTAAGTAGCGTTTTTGGTGGGCTAGGGGTTACATATAAAGTTAGATATTTTTCCCCTTATAATATATAATGTATGCAAATAGCAAATGAACTTATTTAGTATACAAACATATCTATATTTGATCATATGTATAAGCAGAAACATAAAAAATAAAATTTTCATTGAAAAATATATTATACAAATCTAAGCTATTAAAAATTTAAAAACATTGTAATATGTTTATGCCACTATTTTTATTTGATTGTATATAGGTATATATAAAAATTTATATTTATGTAGTAGGAATAATTTGCTTAAAATATTGTACAAAATATAAGATAGCCAAGTGCTACAAATAAGACTATATTAAAGATATTTGAAGAGCTAAATTACCAATCTTACATTTTGAATCGCAAATAATGTGAGCATATAATATGTACATATGTATATCTACAATTATCATAATATAAGTTATATATATATATTAACACATACATTAACAAATTTGTGGTACTTTAAAAATAAAATTCATACAAGATATATTTTTTTAATTAACTAATTTTCTTCACGTCACATATTTATGTATTTTTTCATATCATACATATGCATGTATTAGGGTGTCTATTATTTCCGAAGTTGATTTTGTGTTTGTTTATGCTCTCTGAAGTTTCAGTTTTTGCCCTAAAAATAATTATAGCGTAAACAAGCACTTTATTTTAAATTTTATACAGTATACCAGGTCGTATTAATAACACATAACACAGCTTTAAAAATATAAAAAATGTTTGTTGACCTGGATATTTAAGCAACATTTGACGCTTTCAAGTGTCCAGATTACGACGGTCTTCATGAAAATATTGAATGTGCTCTTGTTTTTAAAGTAATTGCATATCTAATATTTTGATAAATATCGGCCTGTATGTAGTAGAAATTTAGTTTTCCAGTCAGGATTAGGGTTCAGTGCATCTTTATCGCGCATGCAAACGTCACGTGATTCTTACTCTCAACTTCTTACTAAAAATTTGAGACAAATTATGAGGAAGGTTTTAAGGTTTTACTGAAAATCAAACGTTCTGTTTTACTCAACCAAAATCTCGCTTTCTTATCAAAAGAAATTCGGATGGATTACTTAAAAACAATGATGTCGCCAAATACTTAGATATCGGTGCAGTCTACCAATGGATGTGAATTAGAGGGTGAAACATCTATACCAAAGTTTTTTCTCAAAATTAACTTAGTAATAAATTTTGAAGCTTGGAAAAGGTTTGTGTTGATAACCGAAAATTTCTTAGGCAACCACTAGGTACCAAATTATGAAGAAATTGCGCAAGATGTGATGAAAAACTGTCAGAGTTTAGAAGCAAATTTGAATATTAAGTTAGACTATCTCCGAATAATTTTGGAAACTATAGTGAGGTACAGGGAGCTCGGTTCAACTGTCTAGAGCAGCAAAACCACTGTAGACCAGGATGAAGAGACAAGTTGAAATCCGGGTGATTGTCCGTCCGTTCGTCTGTTTTTTTTGATGTTTTTCTGGTAAAAATGTTTCATTCTTGGCAAATGAACATTTAAATAAACATAATTTTTCAAAATGTAGATATTCTGTGCTACGAAGAAAGTACTTTCCTATTTGTTGTTTCTTAAATAGCCCAAAGCTCTTATTTATGGCTCGTTTACACACAAGTATTTTTTATTATTTTATGTTTGTGAACAGAAGCCATTTCCATGAAATGCCATTACTACTTAGATTATAGTTACAAGCAGACAGCTTTATTTAAAATATAAATTTTATTTGTGCAAATAAAATATTTTTTGTGAAAGACTAGACGAATTGTTGTCGATTCTTGCTTATGTAGTATTATTATTATTTATCTCTGGTAAAGGATTGTTTTGCATCGCTGGGAACTAGTCAACCACTTGACAATAGCAACAGCAACACACTAAGCTAAGGGTTGAGATATTTATGAAAATATTTAAATTATTTTTTCAGGAGAAATCAAGCTTTACTATCCTAAAAAAAAAAAAAATTATTATCTCAAAATTAACTCATTTTCGCTTCCTAAATTTTATCATATTAAATTTAGAACTTTTAATATGGAATTAGTCCCTTATGCCCACAATAAACTGCATTTTTTACATTTTTACTCGGTTATTATTTATTCTTTTCGCGTTTTGCTTAGTTTAGAGACTAAAAAAATGTCTTACGATATAAAGTTGCTTGGGACAGTTGTCACATACATTAAAATAACTAAAAGATATATTTAATTATTAATAATAATTCTTTAATGCCTGTGAGGTTAAAAAAGTAATAATAATAGTAGTAAGAAAAGTAGTAACAGTTTAGGAAAAAATTTACTTGATTATTATTATTATTTAAAAATAACACTTAGGAGTGTATTATCCGTGCAACACCTTAAATTTTTATGTATTTTACACCAACACTTTTTGTATGAACTTCGTACAATAAATTGGAACTTCCCACATAAAGAGTGTCCTATTGGCATGAATATAAAATTTAAATAATCAAATAACTTGTATTCTAAATATTATTTCATATAATTCCACTGTTTACTAAAACCTACCGCCGTTAACTAACCCACCCTAATGTTGGCACACATCATTGGAATTTTGATAGTATTTTTATTTTCGGCATTTGGTTTCTGGCATTTATTTGATGTATGTATATTATTTTAGCATTTTTACTACGTGCCCACAATCATGACAACACCGACACCACAAATAAAAATACACAAGCTTTGTTGGCCTTTGGCAATATGCGGGTTTAATTGCAAACGTATGTATGTGTGTGCTTATTTTTCCAATTGCCGCCAGAGCCTTTAAAGAATTTCCCGCAGCGTTTTCGCTTTCTCAAATAATGCCACCATTTTGCCTATTGATACGTTTGTTGTTCTACACATTTTGAGTTATTGTTTTATTATTGTTTTTGTGTTGTTTTTCTAGTATTGTTTGCCTGCTGCTTCCAGGCTATTTTTGCGATGAGTTCGTAAATGCAATACTAACGCTTACAAATGTTTAAGAGACGCTGAGGTATAAATAAAACTGATTTACGCTATTTTACGCCTTAATTTGATGTGCCGAATTCGATGGATTTTTAATTATATAGGGTCATTAACAGCGCAGCAGGAGCGATTTGCGGTCTTTTTTAATTAGTTTTTTGGTTGTTTTTTGTTCATGAAAAAAGATCGTGCAAGGAAATAATTACCGGCGTTGATTGATTTTTTTTATAGATGGATAAAGCTGGTTAAGAGAAATAAAAAACAAATAAATAAATAAAAAATTGCAAATGTTATTGCTTTCCTGACACCACGCGTGAGTAACGGGTCTTAGCGTTATGTGATTTGTATTGTTGCTTGAGTGACGTGACCACTTTCACCGTAGCTACTTATTCTACCAGCTGCTTCTTCTTCTCTTGCTTTTCTAGGCAGGCTTTGTGTGAACGACATGTGCGTGGGAATGCGGAAAAATTCCAATAGCCATCTTGACAGCAATTTTACGATTTTTAATGAAAATATTTTTTTTTTTTATGAGAAGTGTTTATTAATTTGGGCCATATTTTAAAGCTGGAATTTGTTTCAAGAAATACTTATAAGAAAGACTTCTTATGAGTTCATGAATTTACAGTTAAATTAATTATAAACGCTACATGTGTCGGCAAATTGTTGCATTTATTTTCTATATACATATAATAGATATGTATGCTTATATATTAGGGTGGGTCAAAAAAAAGGAGTATTTGTTTACTCTTGGTACTTTAAACAAAATAGGTCCTTAGGCAAAAAATTTCTCCAAGTATGAGCTCCGGGAATGTCCTCCACCTTGCAGTTTTCTATTTATTTTTTTTTTTCAGATAGAAAAATTAAAATCTCGCTTCCAAATACTTGGAAGAATATTTCGTTTTATACATTTTTAAGGAAAATGGTCTTTTATAATTTTTCAACAATTTTTTATCTGATAATAAAAAAAGTAGAAAATTGTGAGGTGGATAGCATTCCCGTTACATATAATAACTCATACTTGCTTGTATGCGAAAGCGTAGAGGTGTCTAGGAACCTATTTTTTGGAGTACCAAGCGAAAAAAATATTAGTTTTTTTAACCCACCCTAATATATATCTATGTATACACACGTGTAAATATGGCTATGTCTATGCCATAAACTCATTTTAATTACAACAGCTGACACTGCGCTTATTGCTGCGGTCAATTGCCTAGACGCTCTAGACGCACATGGTTCAATAATAAGGAGGGCACTGACTTTTAAGCGCATTGGCGGCATTCATTGTTGCAGTGACGAAGAGTTAAGTGTGACAAATAGTATGATAATTAATTAAAAGCTTAGTGGTATATATAATATAAAAATAGATACCTATATCAAAGTATATATTCTCTCTTATGTACATCATATATACAAATAATCTAAAATTGTAAAAGAATATTAATAAATATTACTGTTCTTGACATAAAAATATGACACACCGATACATTCAAGAAATTTTTTCTTGACTTTTCTTGAATACAAAAAAGTCTTATCCTCCTCATTTCACTTCAAGCGTGTATTTGTGCGCGTGGGCGCCTTAATCAAATTTTATCTAATTTATTGAATAAAAAACGCACATAATTCAAATCCGAATTTTTTTATCGAATGACGTCATTGGCAAATGCCAAGCGCAATACGCGCACAATTCAACGTTGCCAGCCACTGCCACTTCA